TTTTGCCTGAATTTACTTATTTTTTTGTTTGGGGCCTCCCCTAAAATTCCTACCAGACCTAAAGGGTCTGCCTGAATTTTGTGGGGGACCCCACGCTGTTTTTAACCAAATAGGTTAAAATAAATCCGAATTCCGAAAACGAAAACTTTGGATCAATCCGAATTCCAAAATAACGAATATCAAACGGATCCAAATTTCTGAAAACGAAAACAAAATTCTGAATCCAACTGAAACTAAAACAAAACAACATTTTTGGCCATCCAAAACATTTTTGGCCATGGACATGTCTACTGTACATAATTTTATTACAATGCATTATGTACAGTTGATGTTTCCTGTAGTTCCACTGAAAACACAAAGTGCCAAAACGTATTTTTGGGGGGTTTTGGATGGAGTGGCGAGGGATTAGAACACCTGTGCCTCTATTTGTCCTGTGACCATTATCCCTGAAAGTGAAAGAAAATCCCAAAAGTCGGGTTATCACCAGAACAGGAATACATGGGGAATTTTGTAATAAAGGCTTAGTTTACCTTTTATATCATGTTTCATGTTACACCATATTCAGGGTGTAGCATGAAACGTGGTCACATCGACAACCCCCCCCCATATGGGGTTCTTCTTCCTGCAAACTGCTGTTGTTTTATTAAGTTGGCGCAGACGTGCGTGGCTCCAGCCACTTCATTCAATCACAGAAAATTTGACAGGACGGTGACATCACTGCACTTGTGTTCCACTGACACATCCTCCTGTCCATGTTACTGAATGTCCTCGGAACGGACATGGACAGGAGGCAGAATCTGCAGGAGCCAGAGCATTGCACCCGCCATCCACTGATCACGGTTGCAATTCTTTACTGTCTCCAATGCAAAAAACTATTTGACTGGAGTATGAGTGTAACAGGTGTAGAGGACGGCAAGGCTGGGTGGTGGAAGGCAGGTATGTTTCGCCACTATTTGGGCTGTGGTCCCCTTAAGGGGCCCAGAGGATTAACCTTCCCGACACAGGAAGCAGCTAAAAGGGTCAGAAACTCCAAAGAGGAGTGTGGTGTTTGAGGAGAAAGGAATCTGCTGTGACTAGTGAGAGACCTGCTGGATTGCTGTGCTGCAGTTTTACAGGACTTATATTCCTGGGAAGGGATTTCCCCAGGTTTGGAACTTTTTTCCAACAAGTCGGTGAGACACATATTCTGTTATTTGTGCCAAAGATTTGGACTGTTACTTTAAGTTAGCTGAAGATAAGCGTGTATTTTGTGTTCAACGTTTTTGGCTGCCCCGCAAGAGGTGAATAAAAGCTTGTGTTTCATTCAAAACCCTCTGTGCGAGTGCTCTGTGAGCTCCCTAATATCACACAGGACACATGGTCAGAGAGGTAAACTTAGCCTTACCGCAGTTGTATTCATTGACCGGGATAGATGCTCAGAAATGTTAATACCTAGCAATGAAAAGGCAGGAACCTTCTCTTTTATTTCAAAGCTGTTCCAGTATGTTCCAATATTGATCTTCCAGTTACACTTTTATCACATACTTAGATGTGGTAATTTTTAAGGAGACACTCACCTCTGATCAGCCGATGGGATCTTCTTTGGTGGTTCTATTCTGATGGTTGGATCCCACTCTCCGGGTGGAAGCACAATGACTTCATCTAAGAATTCATCGATCCCTGCTATCAGGTCCTCCCGATCTCTAGCTTTGTATGCAACATCGCTGAAAAGCTAAATTACAAGACAACAGTACTAAAGCAAAACTCCTTGCAGTACAAAAATAACCCGCAATCTAACACAGAAGTAATTGTTGTTGCTGCTTCCTTTGTATCGTGTTAGCTGCAGCAGTACCTGCGCTAAATGTTACAGCTTATAAACTTGCTCCCAAGTAGACACAAAGGGCTTTAATCTATAAAATGTTTGCAGAGCTCTTCGTTCTGTGAAAATTAGGGATGCACCGATACTTTTCAGATATCAGTGCAGATACTTGGCATTTTCATGAGAACTACCTGGGTTGCAGAGGTTGCAGCTGGGACCTGGCTCTGGCGCTCCACCACTGTCCTGAAACATTAATCTATATTGTTTTAGAAAAACTGTCACATGACAAAAATGTATCAGTACTTGTATCTGTGATTACTTGGACAAGTTTTAGTACTTGTACTTGCAAAACTGGTATCAGTGCATCCCTTTATATTTATAAAAACAAAAACATACATTAAAACAGAGATGCCCAAATCCCAGGAGCTCCTTACAAATGACAGCTTCCTCCTAACTTTTGAATTTTTCTCTAGTCTAGTCTTGGAGCTGGAAAAGTATCTGTACTTGTACTTGTACCGAGTACGGTACTTGGTATACGTGCATCCCTAGTGAAAATCTGACTTTTACATCCACACCACATTGTGGGCACTAGATGGAGCCGAGGAGCATTGGAATTTCCTATCTAGTGGCCATAATACATAATATATAAAATATAAT